CCTTTTGGTGGAGAACGGTATTTAGAAACCTGACTGGAGTAAAGATGTTCTTTCTCCTGGAGTGCTGCGGCTGCTTGGCTCTCTGCTGACAGATAGGAGATGTATGTGAGTGTTTGTAGACCAGCCCACGTGCATATGCTTACCTCTGATGATTTCTGTGACTGTCTGTGTTGTCATCTGTGGATCTCTCCATGGCTAGCCTAACACCACAGGAGCATGCTAACCTCCTCCCTTTGCGTATTTGTAACCCTATTCTCTGACAGGGAGACACCCAGATCATCTCCTGTCCATTTACCCCAACCTTACACATGTGAAAATGATTGCAGCGTTGTTCACCGGCACCCCTGTGACAGACAGTTTATAGTACAGTTCAGTACATTTGTCACTTTGCATCTGTACTAGCATTCCTGACTGCGGGCTAATTTTTTTTACATTGTGCATATTAAAGTTGATTCTCCGTATGAGGTGTACAATGATGTGTGCTTGTACAAATGCAGTCATGTTGTATTCATCAACCAGACTCTCATTTAGGTGTTTTGTGAGGTTTTTATTTCCCTAATTGAGAAACTGTTGGACCATACTTCCATTGTTCATTTACTGAAAAGGATTTAATGTTTAATGTTCTGTACTCAGTCATGTCTGACCCTTTGCAACCCCATGGACTATAGCCTGCCAGGCTCCTCTGTCCATGGGATTATACCGTCTAGAATACTGGAGTGGGTTGCTATTTCCTACTCCAGGGCATCTTCCTGACCTGAGGATCTAACCTGCGTCTCCTGCATTGGCAGGCAGATTCTCTACCACTGAGCCACTAGGGAAGTTTGCGTTTCTGTTACCCTGTGGCTCTTAATGCCATGTAGCCTCTCCTCAGATAAAGGCATAGTAGACGTTAACTAGTAGGGAAGAATACTAGAATTTTAGAAGGTGAAAGAACCTTGAAGATTCGTGAATTTTATTTTCCTCACCAGATAGGTTGGGCATCAAGCCAGAACTGGAACCTGGGCTTTTTGGTTTTCCTCCCCATCACTCACCATACTTGAAATAGGAAAGATGAACAGGATGAAAGATGAGCAAAGGGCACAGATTGCTTGATCTTGTTTTATTATTGTTATTATTTATTGAAGTACAGTTGATTGGCTTCCCTGATAGCTCAGTTGGTAAAGAATCCACCTGCAATGCAGGAGATCCTGGTTCAATTCCTGGGTTGGGAAGATCCCCTGGAGGAGGGATAGGCTACCCACTCCAGTATTCTTGGGCTTCCCTTGTGGCTCAGCTGGTAAAGAACCCGCCTGCAATGCGGGAGACCTGGGTTCGATCCCTGGGTTGTGAAGACCCCCTGGAGAAGGGAAAGGCTACCCACTCCAGTATTCTGGCCCGGAGAATTCCATGGACTGTATGGTCCGTGGGGTTGCAAAGAGTCGGACACGACTGAGCGACTTTCACTTCATTTACAATGTTGTGTTAGTTTCTGGTGTATGGCAGAGTGACTCAGTTATATGCCTTGCTTTAGATTTGAAGTCTGTGCTTACTTAAGGGTGGGATTCCTTTATCTTTTGTTTTAGGAGATTAATTGGTCTTCCCTGGTGGCTCAGATGGTAAAGAATCCTCCTGCAATGCAGGAGACCTGGGTTTGATCCCTGGGTCAGGAAGATCCCCTTGAGAAGGGAATGGCTAGAGAATTTTATGGATAGAGGAGCCTGGCAGGCTACAGTCTGTGGGGTTGCAAAGAGTCAGACATGACTGAGCAGGTTCTTTTATCTTTTGTTTTAGGAGATTAATTCTAGCAGACAACTATTTGTTTCATGTTAGATGTGCTTTGGGAGAGGATTAAGATATTTAATCAAATGAACTTATAAAACAGAAACAGATTCACAGACTTGGAGAACAAATTTATGGTTGCAGGGGAAAGGAGGAGGATGGGGTAAAAGATACTTAAGGAGTTTGGGATGAACCTGTACACACTGCTGTATTTAAAATGGATAACCAGCGAGGTCCTACTGTATAGCACATGGAATTCTGATTGATGTTATCTGGCAGCCTGGACTGGAGAGGAGTTTGGGGGAGAGTGGATACATGTATATGTATGACTGAATCCCTTAGCTGTTCGCCTGAAACTATCACAGTGTTGTTAATTGGTTGTACCCCAATACAAAATAAAAAGTAAAAAAGAAGAAAGATAGTATTAATCATTTGCAAATTAGTTTTGTAGTGAATTATTAATAGTTCATTTACCTCACTTTTTAATGCCATTCTGAAATCAAGTGTTCTGAATGAACAGGAAATTGTGTTTGGGGAAGGGTCTGTGGAAGGAAATGACTGTGAAAAGTGCTGTATGCCACTCTCTCCACATAGATGAAACTACTCTATAAGGCTCTGATGGATGTTGGTTTCTACTGATTAGAGTTTATCCTATTAACCTTTATAGATACTTTAAAGACTGGGGGCCTCTGAACTGGGACCCCCAGAGTTTTTCATTTCTTAAGTAGTTTTTACTGTATGCCAGGCACCAAACTAGACCCTTGATACTCAGATGAGCAAGTTGTATGCCTTGTCTGGTGAGAGATGCATATGAAGGAGGAATATTTGACCCCAGGGCAGTGGCATAGAGATGGCCTTTTACTTTGAAAAAAAGTTTTTTTCTTTAAAAAAAGCATAATTGCATCACCCTGAACAACCATGTCAGTTTTTGCTTATTCCTTTGTGGTTGTGTGTACCAAATATTGTGTTCTGAAATGGTTTTGTTTAATATTTTGTTTCAAGCTTTTCTCAAGTTTCTTCACAATACTGTGTAGTTTCTGTATATGCCCAGCTCCTTAATATTATTTTTTCCATAGAAGGCTACCTTCATCCTTTTTATGCTTCCAGGATTTTTTTATCTGATAGGTTGGTTTCTTAGGCTGTGTTTCCTGGAGTAAGATAACTCCAAGGTCAAAGAGTATGAGTGCTTTACAGCTCTGGAAATGTATTGCCTGTTGTTTTCCATTGCCAGTAGCCTTCCTTGAAAACCTGCCATAGACCTGTCCCACCTGCTGTGACTCCATCACCGGCTGCTTACCCCTGGGTCACTAGGATGGGGCTGCAGATACCACACTCACGTCTGAGCCAGTACGCTTGCTCTTCCCCTGCTTTTTGAACACCCTTCTGAGTGACCGCACAGGGCTGGCTCCTTTCCCCTTGCAGGGTTATTGTGAGGGTAATGAGGTAATATGCTGTGAGGCATGTAGACACAGGGTGCTCAGGGAGGGTGTCTCTGGACTGCTCTCATCCTGGAGCTGGGCAGAGCTAGGTTCTGAACTGCTCTTAGCCTCAGTTTCCCAGAAGAATAGGTTAGTAAACTCTTGCAAAATATACTCATTATATATTATACATTATACATGTACTATATACATTATTATACATTATGACTCAACTCATACCTTTAATTCTGCCCCATCTGGTGGCTCAGTGGTAAAGAATCTGCCTGCCAAAGGAGGAGACACAGGTTTGATCCCTGGGTCGGGAAGATTCCTTGGAGAAGGGAATGGCTACCCACTCCAGTATTGTTGCCTGGGAAATCGCATGGACAGAGGAACCTGGGAGGCTATCCTCCATGGGGTCAAAAAGAGTCAGACATGATTTAGCAACTATGTAACAACAATCTCCTTTACAGGATATCTGATTCTATGAAGCAAGCAGCCATGCTGCCTTTTCTAGATCTCCTGTGAGGGGAGTGGAGCAAGGGAATGGTAACTTACAGTCTCTTTTCATTTCAGAAACCTCTTAGGAGATTATGCAGACTTAATGTTAAAGATGTCTGGAAAACAGGAATCACTGGTGATTTTTAAATGCCTTAAGACGTTGCTGTAAATATAAAATTCTACCTAATAAAGTGATTTGATGTAGAGAGCATGGACTTGAAGATTATCATTTCTAGATGCAGCTGGCCTAATTTTAGAATTTTTTTAATTATAGTTTTCTGTGCTCTCACATCCATACATGACTACTGGAAAAAACCACAGCTTTGACTAGACAGACCTTTGTCGACAAAGAAATGTGAGAATTGGACCATAAAGAAAGCTGAGCACTGAAGAATTGATTCTTTTGAACTGTGGTGTTGGAGGAGACTCTTGAGAGTCCCTTGGACTGCAAGGAGATCAAACAAGTCAGTCCTAAAGGAAATCAGTCCTGAATATTCATTGGAAGGACTGATGCTGAAGCTGAAGCTCCGGTACTTTGGCCACCTGATGGGAAAAACTGACTCATTGGAAAAGACCCTGATGCTGGGAAAGATTGAAGGCAGGAGGAGAAGGGGACAGAGGATGAGATGGTTGGATGGCATCACTGACTCAATGGATACGAGTTTGAGCAAGTTCTGGGAGTTGATGATGGACCGGGAAGCCCGGTGTGCTGCAGTCAATGGAGAAGCGAAGAGTCAGACATGACTGAACTGAACTGAACTGAACGCATGTTCATTCTTATTATCCCATATGCTCAGTGCTTCAGGATCTGTATTAACTAGTAGACAGGCAGGTGGTGGATAATACTTGGCTTTCATTTTTGCTTAGAAAATCCTTCTGATTATTTCACCTATTTGCTATGGTCTTTGAAGAAATTATTTTGCTTTCACTGAGAGTGGCTGACTTCTTCCTTTATCTCCTTCCTTCTCATGTCATTTTCCTGCTCTGTCTTCCCCTTCTCCCCCCGCCCCTTCCTTCAAAATACTGTCACAGGGGCCACCTGGTATTGTGTATTTTTAAATAGGGTGATCTTTGGATTTGATAAGAATTGAAAATTTATCTGCAGTATGGTTGGGATCATAAGTTAGTGACCGGAGATATTTCTCACTGAAATTCTTATTTGGGCAATGTGCCTCATGCTTTATTATGGCAGTTTTGACTATTTGGCTCTCTCGCATATCTTCCATATCTGGCAGTTGCAGATTCTGTACAAATATGTCTGCATGTTGAGCACATGCTGCAGTGGTACTGGCCTCTGATGAAGTGCTCTTCTTACTTGCACAGGTTGCACAGAGCATCGAGGACCATCATCAAGAAGTGATCGGTTTCTGCAGAGAAAACGGCTTCCATGGCTTGGTTGCATACGACTCTGATTATGCACTGTGCAACATCCCCTACTACTTCAGTGCCCATGCCCTAAAACTGAGCCGGAATGGGAAGAGTCTCACCACGAGCCAATACCTGATGCATGAGGTTGCCAAGCAGCTGGACCTGAACCCAAACCGCTTCCCTATCTTTGCCGCTCTCTTAGGTAAGTGGCAGTGTTAAAGCTCTCTCATTTTGTGAAAAAGTTCTGTGTATCAGGAACATAATATTTTGGATTGTGTCTTAAATTTTAAAAAACCAGGGAATGGGTTCCTCTTCAGTAACATTCTGTACTCATTAGTTTTTGCTGGTAATGTGCTTCTTTTGTTCTGAAGTGTTTGTTTATGTATTGTTTTGTCTAGGCCAATACACTAATTTTGGGGGAAAAGTGTTCTTAAATTTGGGGGGAAATAACATTTAAAAATCACAAATGCTCGTACATTCTCACCGTGAAAAACATTTAAACCTTTGACACAAATTACAGAAGAGAATTTGCTGTGAAGTTAGCACTGTTCTGTGTTCCCCACTTTTTCAGGATTCTCACTACTTTAAAAGGAAAACAACAGAAATAAACTATCATACCTTTGTTTCAAAGCCTGCATCTTAAGTAAATGTATAGATATCTTTAAAAACTCTCTTGGAGGAATTCTTTATGCTGAATATCTTAAAAGGATGAAATCTTGTTTTCAGTTCAGTTCAGTCGCTCAGTCGTGTCTGACTCTTTGCAACCTCATGAACTGCAGCACACCAGGCCTCCCTGTCCATCACCAACTCCCGGAGTCTACCCAAACCCATGTCCACAGAGTTGGTGATGCCATCCAGCCATCTCATCCTCTGTTGTCCCCTTCTCCTCCTGCTCCCAATCCTTCCCAGCATTAGGGTCTTTTCCAATGAGTCAGCTCTTCACATGAGGTAGCCAAAGTATTAGAGTTTCAGCTTCAACATCAGTCCTTCCAATGAACACCTAGGACTGATCTCCTTTAGGATGGACTGGTTGGATCTCCTTGCAGTCCAAGGTACTCTGAAGAGTCTCCTCCAACACCACTATTCAAAAGCATCAATTCTTTGGTGCTCAACTTTGTTTATAGTCCAACTCTCACATAAATTTTTCTCTTTTAAGTAACTTGGTAATAGGTAATCCATTTATTTATCACTTTATGTCTGTAGTTTATAGTTATTTCTATCTTTTCTGTCAGTTTCCCTTTCTTGTGCTTGGAATGTGCATGTCTCTTAGCTACTTGAGTATCTGGCTCTAGTTTGCTGAGAGTCTGTAACAATTGTGTCCACAGTATAAGTGTTCTGAGCAAGACCCTTACTGTGCAGGCTCCTCTGTCCATGGGGTCCATTTTGGAAAATCCCATGGACAGAGGAGCCTGGTCAGCTACAGTCCATGGGGTTGCAAAGAGTCGGACACAACTGAGTGACTTCTCTCTCTCTCTCTCTCATGTAAGTAAAGCCCAAGAACTTCAGTGATGAGATTGAGAGCTGTTTGGGAGACTCAGGCCCTCTTTGAGAGATGTGTGCTTTTAAGAAAAAGTGAGATCTTACTATACTCTCTCAGTTTTTATTCTGCAGTGCTTAGCAACAGGTTCTGGTTGTGCTTATGAGGGGGTCTTTTAGACCCCCTATTGTGGGCTCTTTTAGAAATTTCTAATTAGCAGATTTTTCAATTAACATTCCAAAAGAGTTTTATACTACTAGAAATTATAGTGAGGGAGCCATAATTTTCCATATGTTATTTGGTGATAACATTTCAAATTGTGTAACTACAAATTAATTAAAAAAAATTCTGATTTTACAAGTTGTCTCTATTTGGATCCAATCTCAAATACATGTTTTTAAGTTAGTACTTGGCTATTTTCTGTCCATTTTCTTAGTGAACTCCTGTGAGTTGGGATTCAGAGGATTAAAACCTAATTTCTAAATGCATATAGTACTTTTATATTTTCAGATATTAAAATATAAAAGGATATTTCCTCAAACGTTAAAAAGTGATGAAGTAGATGGACACATGAAGTTTCATATTTACTTAAATGTTACATCCATTGACTTGGGAATGTTAATTGACTTTAAATGAATGGGAATATTGTATACTTGTAGAATATAGGTACCTTAGCTACCCTGGGAAGGATATTTGTTTATCATATTTAAGAAACATTGAATAAATTTCTTGGGAGATAATACCAACTAATAGTTTATGAAATATTAAAAGAAGTGAAAAAAAATAACATTGTGAATAATTTAGTAATGAATTAATTTAAGGCTTGAAATTTCTTCAAAAAAATTAGGCAAATTATAAACTCTTAATTGGGTGAACATTTTTAGAGCATTTTAGTTTAGATTTTTGTGAAAATTTGAGTGTCCTCAAATGAGAATTATTATTTTCCTTTTTTTAAAATAGAAAGTATAATTTTTCCTTTTTGTAATAGAAAGTATAGCAATATAAGATGTTTTGTTTTAGAAAAGTTGAGTGAAAATGAGTGAATACTCATTTAAGTATTTGGCCCAAGTTTTAACAGACTATATTTGATGTTGGAATTGGCTTAATATTTTTTCAGATAGTAGCTTCAGAGACAAATCTCAGATACGTTATACTTCACAGTAAAGTTCTGCAGTATCTATGAGCAGAGGAAAGTAATACAGAACTCAATAACTGGACAGTTTGGACCTAGCTCTGCGCTTGTGAATATCATGACAGTTTGGTACACCTGTGTCATGTGTCTGTTTAGAGTATTATGATTAGCAATGCTGAGATGCACTCGCCTTGTTTTACCTTCTGTTAGCAGCTCAGTAATGCATCTGCTTAGTGTGGAGGTGACTAAATCATAATATACAAATCACAGAATTATTTAGGAAATCATTGCTTTTAAATTGTATCAAAACAACTAACAAATATGTTAGTGAATCAGGCATCCAAGCATTATAATGAAGGGAGAATGTTCACCCCAAAAATGTAGTTTCTCATCTGAATACAGTTCTTACTTGTGACACGGCCCTGGTGATAGTGCAAAGAGCTGATTGACACTTCTTGGTGGTAGTGTAATCTGTGCTTTGTACATCTATTTTCTTGGGTGGTGCTAGAAATTTAAGGAGGAGGGTGTTGATCCATGTCACAAACTGCAAGCGTTGTCACTTAACCTTAGGTTTTATAACTGTGTAGATTCTGCATCTGGTGTCGAACCTACTTTACAGAATGTAGTTTGAGCCGTAGTCTCTCATAACACATGAAAACTTGTATCAGATTGGTATTTGGCATCTGTCATTATCAGACTGGCGTTAATACTGTGCTGGGGAGTTACTTAGGTTTTTATACAGTTTATTCAGTTTGAATGCTGTTAAACCTATAATGGAAATGTACTTGAAGCAGCTTCAAGAAGTTGGCCTGCTGTATGTTTTGTGTTAAAAGATGAAGAAATATTCTCAATGTCTGTGTGGAAATTTTATGTGGTGTATTAAACGAGGTGGTCCTAAAGAGTCATATTGCAAAGTCTTAAAACTAACAAAGATAATGTACAGATTATAACATGCAGTGATATTAAGTTTCCCCCATGTCAGTAATGGCTTTTGTGGTATCCCTGTTTGTATTCCAGGAAATCACATTCTACCTGATGAAGATCTGGCTTCCTTTCATTGGAGTTTACTTGGTCCAGAACATCCACTAGCTTCACTTAAGGTACAAATTCATTTTATTTCCAATATTTGTTGCTTTTCCTTTTCCTTTCATAATCTAAGTAATGTTTCTTTATTGTAGAAGGAAATATACCTCAAAATTAGCAATATCATGCTTCCCCCTAACTTCAGAATCTGTGCTGCCTTAAAAAAAAAAAAAACAAACCTACCTTATATTGTTCCCAGCACCCATATTTTAGGTAAATATATATAAATGTTGTTTAAAATTCCCTCAGATGAATTCTTCATGTCATGGACCTAGATAGGTGTAAATTTTTTAGCTAAAGTTTTTATGTATTAATTTTATTTTCTTACAAATATTATTTTTTCAATAGATAATATCATCTTCTGTTATGGATCAGTATCTTAGCAGAGTTTGAATTTCATAATTTTCTTACTGATTTTCTAATATTGTAAAAATCTATAGTTTTAATGCTTTTTGAGTGATCAAGGAGACCCAAGTTCATAAGAAAAAATGGTCTATTTGTACTGTTTCATTAATATTTATTTTCTTATTTTTCTCCCCTTCCTGTTTGAAAGTAATGAACATCCAAGAAGATGTACTTAACTTTGGTTTTCTAAAGTGGGAAGGTTTATAGTTTGATGTGAGTGTAGTAGTGGAATAGCAATGGTCACTAGGGAACTTGTAGTTGTGAGTGGCTTCCTGTGATTTTCCGATTTCCCTTTGCTGGGTAAATTGCTGTGGTGTTCTCTGCTGTCAGTGTTGTGGTCAGAGCTGCCACTTACTAGGTAGGGAGTTGGGGATTCTGAACCTAGACTGGCCTGCAGCCCGGGCCTCAGTTCCTCGTGGTAACGGGGAGGTTGCATGGGGTGGTTTCTGAATGCACGTTTTCCTATTGTCAGAATGTCCTCCAGATAGGATTTTTCAGTGTTTAGCTTACAGCAAGCTTTTGTGATACTTGGAAGTTCAGGTTGCATTCCTCTCCTGCCTCTTTCATCTTGTTCCTTGGTGCCTAGAACCCTTTTTTTTCCATTTCTTATTGATGGGCCCTGATGTTTTCCTTTTTATCCTAACAGTTCTTGGTATGGGGCTTTTCAGCTTCTGTTGGAAGATCAGTTTTTCTCCTTTTGTTTGAGATTACTTGTTTTCTTTTGCCTTTTTTTTCCCCCTGAAGGAAAACAGCTCTCTATTTGCTGTTGGCCAGAGAGTTCTTCATGTGTGTTTTCATTTACAAAGTACTACAATTTGTAAACTTGATTCCAAGCTCCTGGTGATACCATTAATGACTTGCAGAATGGGAAAAGTACAGTCTGAAATCAGGTAGACTCAGAAGTATTATGCTCATTAGCTTATTAAACAGTATGCTTTTATAAGTTGAGACAAAATGAAAGCTCGTTTTTTACAGGGTTTGTATTGTTTTGAGTAGCAGGGGTGAGTGAGAGGCTCCCAGGATCCCCAAACTGTATCAGTTCAGTTCAGTTCAGTCGTGTCCGACTCTCTGCGACCCCATGAATTGCAGCACGCCAGGCCTCCCTGTCCATCATAAACTCCCGGAGTTTATTCAAACTCATGCCCGTCGAGTCGGTGATGCCATCCAGCCATCTCATCCTCTGTCGTCCCCTTTTCCTCCTGCCCCCAACCCCTCCCAGCATCAGGGTCTTTTCCAACGAGTCAACTCTTCGCATGAGGTTGGCCAAAGTACTGGAGTTTCAGCTTCAGCATCAGTCCTTCCAATGAATACCCAGGACTGATATCTTTTAGGATGGACTGGTTGGATCTCCTTGCAGTCCAAGGGACTCTCAAGAGTCTTCTCCAACACCATAGTTCAAAAGCATCAATTTTTCGGTGCTCAGCTTTCTTCACAGTCCAACTCTCACATCCATACATGACCACTGGAAAAACCATAGCCTTGACCAGATGGACCTTTGTTGGCAATGTAATGTCTCTGCTTTTTAATATGCTCAAACTGTATACATGTGTTTAAATTGAGCTCGCCTTATTTCGTGTGTCAGAGGTTAGAAGTGAGGAACTGTTTGAAGAATTATTGGAAAACCAACTCAATCCACTGATAGGTCACAAGCATCATTATCATGTATTTTTCCTAATAGTTTGTTAATAAAAATAAAAATATATAAAAAGTTGAAATAGAAAATATGTATTCATATATCCATCACCTTGGTTCACCTGTTGTTAACAGTTTGCTGTAAAGTATATATGTATCTGTGTGTTTTTTAACTCAACTATTGGGAATTAAGTTGCAGACATCATAACACTTTACCTGTGAAAACTTTGATTTATATCTGCTGCTGCTACTGCTCCGTCGTATCTAACTATTTGTGACCCTGTGGACTGTAGCCTGCCAGGCGCCTCTGTCCATGAAATTTTCCAGACAAGAATACTAGACTGAGTTGCCATTTCTTACTCCAGGGGATCTTCCCGACCCAAGGATTGAGCTAGCATCTTCTGAATTGTCAGGCAGGTTCTTTAGCCCTGAGCCACCTGTGAATCCCTTGGTTTATATCAACACCACCACCTAAAAATAAAGATAATTTCTTAATTATATTACTATTATCACATCAACTAAATTAATGTCATTTAATATAAGTCCACATTGACATTTTTCTGTTTTCTCTCAAAGTTGTTTGTAGGATTGTATGTGTGTTTTAAAATTATTTGTATATTTTTGGTTGCATTGGGTCTTCGTTGCTGTGCACAGGCTTTCTCTAGTTGTGGCGCGCAGGCTTCTCACTACAGTAGCTTCTCTTGTTGTGGGACACAGGGTCTAGGCACATAGGCTTCAGTAGTTGAGGCTCGTGGGCTTTGTTGCCTTTGGGCACGTGGAATCTTCCTGGACCAGGGATCAAACCCATGTCCCCTGCATTGGCAGCAGATTCCTATCCACTTGTGGATTTTTTAAAAAATCAAATTTTTTGCATTATCAACATGCATATTTTAAATATTAGCTAGGTATTTTTATGGCATAATAGTGAAGCAGTCCAGCATAATTTTTCAATGACTTGATAAGTTGTAGGATTTTTTAAAGTCACATTATGAAAAGTAAAATGTCTGGCTTTGAGTTAAAAAATTGCAAAACTTTTATGTTTTGGTCTTTATACATAGTTTCTGTGTGTAGTATCATTTTAACAAAGACTGGGATTTTTTTGTCTTTTTAATTGGGAGTATTGCTTTATAATGTTGTGTCAGCTTCTGCCACACAAAAACATGAAGCAGGCATAAGCATACATATGTCCTCTCCCTCTCAAACCTCCCACTCACCCCCCTACCCCATCCCATCCCATCCCATCCCTCTCGGTTGTCACGGAGCACAATGCTGAGCCCCCTGTATAACGCAGCAGCTTCCCACTATCTGTTTTACATACGGTAATGTATTTGTTTCAGTGCTCCTCTCAATTCCTCCTGCCCTTTCCTCCCCCCACTGTGTCCACCTGTGTGTCCTCTATGTCTGTGTGTCTATTTTTGCCTTGCAGATAGGTTCATCAGTACCATTTTTCTAGATTTCATATATATGCATTAATATATGATATTTGTTTTTCTCTTTCTGACCTCACTCTCTGTAACTAGACTGTGGGATATTCAATATGGTTTTTTTTTTCTCATGAACCTTACTACTGTTTACAATTGTCTGTACCCATCTGCTTTTTCAGTTGCTTCTTTTCCCCAGTAATAAAACTAACTACATCTTTTGAAAATTTGGTTAGTTGTTGATTATAAAACTTTATTATGATTTTTATTCCTTTTCAGCAGAGTATGTTGTATACAGTTTTTAAGGATACTTGATTTTGCTTCCCCAATTTCAAGCATTCCTTTTCTCCTACCTTATTTTGCCAAAGTATTTCACTGAGTTCGTATCTACTAGTTTATTGTTCACAGAGGGTTGGTGTTATATGAACTTATTATCTAATAAATTCAAATCCCCCCTTAACATGTAATATCATAATCGTATCCCTGTCAACATTTCAACATCACCATTCACAGTGCTGGTTGGGCCAGTAGGAGAGAGTGGCTGGGGCTCTGGATTCAGAAGCACAAGCAGAACCTGGAGTGGCTGGTGATAAACAGCTGAGGCAGTTGGATCATGAAGTGATGGCCATAAACATGTGCCAAATGAGTGCCTTTTTTATATGTGCTTTTTGAATTTTTAAAAATGGTTTTATGATTTTGAGTCCTTGAAAGTTATGGAACTTCTTATTTGGGTTTGGCATTGAATTTTTAAACTGGAAGTGTTTTCTTAAGTAGAATCATAAGTTGCAGGTCTTTGTATTCATTCTAATGCTTTTTGTGTTCCTAAACTTCATATTCAGTTTCATGTATTTTGAGTTTTATCCCTGTCAGTCATTCATGAGCCCCAAGAATTTCCTGCCCCAGAATCTCTTTGTCTTTTCCGCTTTGCAAGTTTTATGCTCACCTTTCCTCTCCTTAGACTTCCTACAAGTGTTGTTCTCCTGTATGGCTTTTCAGGTTCTATTTTGATCTCTCTATATCACTTCCCCAGTTGTGGCAAGCGGGCAGAGGAGGCCTTCCCCTGGACACAACTGCCCACGCCACCATCACCACCCCACTGCTCCAGCCCAGCTCTGCCCATTAGCCACAGGCCAGGCAGGTGCTAGTTCCTCTTGAACTCCTCCCTGTGTGTGTCCAGTTAAAATGTCTCCTCGAAAACATCCTTGCTTGCTTCTGGCTCTTCTCAAAATCTAAATCCTAGTTCTTGTACATGTCTCTTTCTGATTTAAATAGTCTTTAGTGTTTATACCTCTACCTTTGGATTCACTTTTTAGTCACCTTTCTTTACCAGCAATATCTTTTCCCTGAGGCAGCTGTATACCAGGACACTCTAGCAGGTCACCTCAGGAATGTTTTGTTTTAAAGTTACCTAGAATTTTACTAAAAGTTATCTCTGTATGTTTTACATCTTACTGTCTGCCACCAAAAGTCACTGAGTAATCCTTTTTACAAGTGTCTTTAGGGACGGGATGTGGCATTTGACCCTGGGGAGGAGGGAGTCTGGTTCTGGGAAAGTAGCC